AGCAGCGGCAGCAGCAGCAGGAGAGGCAGCAGCGGCAGCAGCGGCAGCGGCTGCGGCAGCGGCAGCGGCAGCGGCAGCGGCAGCAGCGGCGGCGGCAGCGGCAGCAGCGGCAGCGGCGGCGGCGGCGGCGGCGGCAGCAGCAGCAGCAGCAGCAGCAGCAGCGTCATCAGCGGCACCAGCCGCCTCCCACTCCTATTCCTGCCACTCCTGCTGCACACTGCAAAACATTAATTAGAATGGATCGCCCTTGCCTGAGAGTTTGCTCGGAAACAAAACATCGGCCAGGTCGACCAAACTCACTGGGTCCACCCCCACCTGGAAGAAAGAGCACGCTGTGTTTTCTACAAGCTTTAAAGCCCCATGAATCTGAATTGCTCAATCTCCGAAGCGCCCGGCCGAATGCAGTGCTCTCACAGCGTCTTTGTCTTCGAGAATAGCCTTCATCTCTTTGTGTGAGATCATTCCTTGCACAAAATGTTGAAAACAGCTCCAGCATTCTGCGCAGTGCACACAGTGCGTGAGAGCTGCCGTTGCCATCTAAATCAACGGATGCCACCATCTTCTCCAGCTGGCCCTGCAGTTCAGTCTGGCAGTCTTCCACTTAGTCTAAGTAGGAAAGCAAAAGAGCCAGCACAATCATCTAATGTACCGAGAACCGAAGAAATAGCTAGCGGGATGGGAGGTCAGTTCAGTGACCGATTGACAGTGAGCAAGAATGCCAGTGATCCAGCAAGCGAAAACGCGAAAAGAAAGACAACAAGCAATACGAACGAGCAGAATCCAAGCGATGCAGCGATGTGAATAAGCAGCTGACGACGAACCCAGATTTGGACCGAGGTCACAGTGCGGAAGAGGCGGAACATCCCATGCCCTCTTCCTTTTGCTACCCTTCTCCCCTCTGTCTCTCTCCCCCATTCCGCTTCTTCTCCTCCATCTGACCTTCGTGTGGATTTACGAAATAGCAATATGCACTATGTAGCTTACCTTTGTTGACCACCCCGGTTTTCCTCCACTCCTCTTCTTCTTTTCCATCTGACCCTCTTGCTGATTCACGCACGCAATATACACTATACATATATATATATCTCTCTCTCTCTCTCTCTTACGTCGATATGTATCCCATCATCCCTACGTAGCCTATATACTCTATGTGCACATCATACACCCTGTCTACCTCAATACCCTGCGTACGTAACCAAAAATACACTACGTGACCACAAACCCTGGACACGCTACGCACCCCTCGGCGACATAAAGGCCAGCTTTAAGCAACAAGGACAAGCAAATACACTCCAACACTCTCCACACACTCCACACACTCCACACACCGCCACACACCACCACACACTGCCGCACGCCACCACACGCCACTAAGAGCAAAACTTCCAGCGATTGCACATCATTCTGAACCACTAAGTAAAGCGTGCCTGAACAAAGCCAATGAGCAGCTCTTCGCGCTCTGCGGCCGCGACGAGCGTCACCACCTGTTCCAGCGTGGTAATTCTTTCTCGGAGGTCGGACATTCTGCAATTTGATGCAATTTGCTAACATGCTCTGTTTTCACAAACGCCCATCTGAACAAAGTTCGAAATGCTTCATTTCGCAGCACCGAGCAGCTGCTTCTCTAGTGCTTCACAAGCAGCGAAAGCCCATTACAGATTGAAAATCACATTCCCACATTTTGACATGTAGTATCATGTAGTCGACTAGGCACTGACTACCGGCCTCGCAAAGCACACCGATAAGAAGGTTCATCACAGTGACCTGACATGACATTTTTGGCCTTCAAGCACAACAATGAACGGATGCGGTTGGTTGGGTTGCAAGTGTAGCAGCATAGCAGTTTTTTCTAAACACGCCAGGATCTCTGCAGCGATCAACACCTTGGATGCAGCATGACAACACGGGATAACACTGATGGACTTTCATATTGACAATTTTACTCAATAGGCGCAATGAAAATGCTTTTTTAATACTGGAAAACCTTCAAAAATCCCCCTAAAAGACGGGGCGACCCCAAAGATCTGTCCATGCCCGCAATGAAAAATGCGATTTTTGAGTATTGAAAACGATGGTTTTAGGCACCCCTGCATTTTGTCGCAGAAGAGCCAGGAAAGCACCAGGAAACCCCCGAGAGCCACCAAAAGACCTCGAAAGGCCTCAACAGCCTTCAAGAGGCTTCAAAAGGCCCCTGAAAGAATTGGACAGGATTTGCCCGTGCCCGCAATGAAAAATGTGTTTTTTTTTAGTACTGAAATCGATGGTTTTGGGCACCCCTCCATTTCACCCGAAAACGACGAGGAAAGCCCCAGGAAGCCCCCAAATCAGCAAGGGCCTCTACGGGCCCTGACGTGCCGAAGGCCCGAAGAAGCAGGCAGATGTGAGCAAAAATCAACATCCCGACAACCGTAGCTACTCGAGCTACTCGGGTACTACTCAAGCCATAACACAATACACAAAGAATCTGGGTTTAGACTGCATAACCCAAGCCCAAACTCCAAACAGTCAAACTGGAACCCCGATTTCGAACGAAGAGCCTTTTTGACCTACGGCATGCGTTCGAAGATCGGACTCTTCAAACTCAAGTGGAGCAGACTGGTTGTGTCGGGCGAAAAAGATTTAGCATCCGTGGTTACAGGCAAGCACGGGAGCATGTTGTCCTGGAACCCCACATCAAAGGCCTGGAGCAACCTGGAACGGCCGCGGCTCGATCACCTCTCCCATTGACAGCGGGTTGAGATGTGGGCAGCAAGGAGTTGATTAGGCGAGAGCAGCAGATAGCACGACAGGCACAGGCCAGTGCCGCCACCGTGCATGCCTTCTCGGGCAGTGCGGCTTCTTGCACGTAGCCGCTCGTGGCCCGGAACGAACATGCATGCTGCCCCAACGGCCGACTAGGTGGATGCAAGAGAGCACGTGAACCACACATGTTAGACTCAAGGGCACGACCGCGCTCACTGAAGTCCAGATGCCACTGGCCCGAACTTTGAAGTCTGCTTAATTTCGGCTAAGGCCGGAGAGCTTAATTTCATTGCGGGTGAGCTCGGGATCCGCGGGTGACCTCCCTATAATGAGGCCAGCAAAATCTTGGTGCTACTGCGTCCATTAACGGAGGTTTTCGAACGATTTCTAGGGACACCTCTTTGTGGGACATCCAAATCAGGATTGCGAAACCTGAAGCCATAACAATGCCGGCAAGCAAAGTTTTGTAATCAAATGCAATCATAAACCTGGTCCTTCTTAGATGATCTGTGCGGCCGACATGGCTGCACAAGCATACAAGCAGCAGTGTATGTTGCAGCTCAAGTGCATAGCTGAGGAAGATGGCCACAACCCAGCCATTGTCATCGCCTACATGATTCAGCAGCTCAGTCACCTGGCATCTGAAGACATCTTGGGGCTCACAACTAGCTCGAACTGGCCAGCTTCGGCAGCAAGCTCTTTACACATGCAACGTCACCCAATGTTGCCTACGTGCGACGTCCTGTGTACCATACTGACACTCAGGGCCTCGTCGAGCAAAGCTCCTCTGACGATGCAGGTGAACATGGAGGCCTCAAGTTACTCAAGTTGTGTACATCATGGGACTTCTCCATTGATGTTTCACCATGCCACCCCTTGAAACACATCAAGAGTGCAATGAGTAAGCAAGACAAGTCACAAGAACATCCGGAAAGTACTGGCGACCGCTGGGCGTGTCCTGGCAAGACGACATCTTACAACATCACTCTAAAGCCCAAAAATGCTCTCTGCAAAGCCCACGTCCTTGCACAATGAAGTAAAAGCTATCGCATACACCTTGCATGCACAACATTCCCATCCAAGTGTGGAGTTGTTGACACCCACGTAGCTTCTGAGGAACGCACATATGTCACAATCAGCAGAAGGCCGAGCGTGACGAGAACTGATCTGAAGGCCTCTGTTGAAAGTCTCGTTTGGACCCCACCTGCTTGAATGTTCTGAATGTTACAGAACCGGAGGGCTGCATCATAGTGCTCCCTGCAGTGATGATTCTGATCCCAAGATCCAGAAGCTGTGCAGTCACCACGAAAAAGCGGTCGTGAACCGTGACACCAGTCTGGGCTTCGCACGGCAAGCATTCCCTTCAGCAGGATCATTAGCTCAGGAAAGGCCTTCAGCACACGAACCTCATTCAACATGACAGGTTTCAACATGGTCTTAGGCTGAAGTGCTTTGAAGTGTTTTCGATGATGTCGGCAAGTAAGGAAATGGCCACTCTGGTCATGCGGAACAGGCGCAACAGTCGCACAAGGCTGAGAATTGGGGAGTCTTGAAGCACAAGTCCTGACCAACATGACTCTGCACACTTGCGAAACGCCTGGCTAAGCCTTCTAAGCCATCTCAAAGAGCAGTCCTTGAACCGTTGCAACGAGCAGCGTGATGATCCATGTCCTGTCGTAGCCATGGCGATCAATACACATTTATCACAAAGGGAGGCATGGCGCTGTCTGACGAACCACACTCACAGCCTCAGATCTACTCTGCAATTCACACTTCGGGCGGCCGACTCGAACACCATGAATGTCACGATAACTGTGTCAAAAACGAACCTCAGGACAGCTGCATGGGCATGCAAACCAAATGCAAGCTGCAAACCAATTCTACCATCCGATTTAATGGGCGGCAACCGCAGCCTAGGCAGCGGACCACATGTCCTTGAACGCATCCCATGAGCGCCTCCACAACCACATGCTGTTCAACATGCACAGCAACTTGAAGTCAACTAGCTACAGCGGTCCTGAAAGCCCAGTATCGAATGAGCAACTCAATCGTGAAGTAAACCTTGGAGGTCTTAAAATGTCTCACACAAGCCATCAACGCTTTGCGGAGCCAGTGGGCAAACAAATGTGTCGAATTAAGTCCGAGAGTCGCAAAATACATTCCTGCAGATTGGCAAGAAGGTAGCGGAATTCAAATGTCTGTGCTTGCATGCATCAGCGCATGAATGCAAGTCGGACCGGCCGCAGTATGCTGAAGTGTCATGCAAGAACCAAACCAAAGTTCAAACAGCATTGTTGCGAGCGAAGACTCTCCATTATCAGAAACTCCGGCCGAGCATGTATCAATAGGTCTTTGTCATTGTTGTCGGTGTCTATCGCGATCCACAGAGCATTGAAAATTATCATACAAAGCCTCGGCATGCAACGGAACATGAGAGCCGATGCTCCCATGTGTAAAGGTGGCACATGGTGGCGCAAGCGACACTGAGAAGGCCACGTGCAGTAATCAAAGAGCGGGCTGCGCGCTATTCGCTGAAACATGCCATCCTTAGGAGCCAGAGGCCATCAGGCTACCAGAAGTGGCTCGCGCATATCGCCACCTACCAAACCCAATTGAGAATGTCCAGCCTTCATCCCTGTTGAGCATTGTTGCTTTGAATGCCGCCAATGTCAGAGCGGGCTTATCGGATGATGAATGCAAGTGAGTGCCACGGAACCATGTAATCAGCAAATTCCTGCAGTTACAAACTAGTAAAGCCGCGACGCATACTGAATTCATCATTGCCAGGCAACTGTCTTGTAGAAGTCTTGGACATTGTACTTCTTCTGCTCGAGGAGATCTCGAACCGCCTGTTGAGATATGTCATGACACGTAATTGTGCAACATAAGGATAAGCACACGAAATTCGGCGATACGTCAGCAACCCGACGTACTGCCACTAAGGACACTGAGAAAGGCTCCTCCTTCACAGAGTCTGGATCTGGAAACACCCCGTTCGCCGGCTGCTGAATGACTGTGGAGCCTGGGTTTGGCAGGAATACGATTGGAATTCGAGCCAATGACATTGATCCAGACCAAACCGAAAAAAAAACCGTAACACCCCAAAAGCTGGCCTCTCTTCGGACGACGGTCCGCAGCTGTGTCTGCATCAGCCTCCGGAGATTCAGGGAGACTTTAGTCACTTCAGTCACTTTATGACTGACGGGCGTGAAGAAAAAGCCCAGAACAGAAGTCATCAGCACGGGAAGTGCTAACATGTGCACACAGCTTTGAAGTCCTGCTATGCTTCCTGCCGATGCCAGAACTTGACAACACTGTACACTGCGCAACAAGACGAAATGCAGATGAACCGGACCATTCATCATCTGGTTCCCGTGTACATCTCACACATGCGCATGCACATGCCTTGGAAAGCGTTAACAAACTCTTGGGACGTGCAGGAAACGAAGCTCAAATCACAAAGTGTGCCAACAAGGAGCAGTGCAAACAGCGGGCATTTTAGAACTTCCGTCACTCCAGACTCTGACAACTCTCTGACAAGACCGCAAGAGAGGTGCATAACTATATTGCAAACAACACAGCAGATTATATTGAGGCAAGCGGTTTCGAGTAGCAACCATGCCATGACCAAAGTAGGTTGCATCAGCTTCGCTCGTGGGCCACTCCACTCACACCCGTGATGCATCTTATGCAAAGCAAATTCTCTCTCTCACTCTTTCTCTCTGTCTCTCTCTCTCTCTCTCTCTCTCTGCGCTGCCTCGGTGGAGGACTGCTTCATGGTCATGGCGCGGCGAAATCTTTGGAATGTGGAGGGTTGCCGAGCCTGTGTGTTGCCAGCAGCTATCAGCCATCAGATCATCAGATGCCATCAGCGTCACTTTGCCGACACAAGAATGATCCTGGGAACGTGCCTCCTGCGCTGAGCCAGAAAATCCAGAAAGGCCCGTCATGCCTGCGAAAAGTTGTTGCCAGAGAATCCGCGAATCCGCCAGAGGATCCAGCGAAAGACTGCAAACAGGCTTTGGCAATGGAATCAATGGAATGGGCCCCCATTTGGACCCATATACTACACATCTTTGCGTACCTCGCTGCAAAGCCGACGCATCCTTCGCATCCTTTGCTGCATCGCTGTCGGGCTCCATCTGAGACCTCAGCGTGTTTGGAGAAGGCCATAGAAGCGTCAGCACAGATTCATTCTCATGACTCATAGCATTCAGACAATGCATTCGAGAAACTGGTGCTGGACTTCGCACACGGCTAAGCATCTCTGAGCCGTGAAAGCATAAGCTGCAGATGCCAGCATGCTGTGACAGGCTGTGACAGAATAAGCAACCTTGAGAGAAGCATCAAAACTCATCAACCGAAGCTGCAGCATAACTCTTTTGAAGGCATTTCAACCGGGCAGGTCGTCTTCCAGTTCAGCTTCTCTTTTCCGCTTCTTGTCCTTCTTGTCCTTCTTGTGCTTGTGTTCTTTCTTGTCCTTGCTCTTCTCCTTTTTGTCTTTGTTCTTCTTGTCTTTCTTTTCTTTCTTAGCCTTCTTGGCCGTCTTGTTCAGCTGGTCTTGCGAGTCCAGGTTGTCCTCCGAAACTTTTGCAAGCAAGGCCAACGATCAACCGACGACAGAGTGGCCCGCAGAGCGCATGGGTTGCCCAGCATGTGCATATTTGCCACACCGACATTGCAAAGCTTGAGCTGCCTCAAGGTTTCCGTCTCGAACCTTGCCTTCTTCTTCTTCTTCAAAAATAACCTGCTTGTTGGAAGGACGTGCTGCGATCGCATGCATTCTGAGCAGCCGATGTTCTCGTTGGTGTGCACAGAAGGTCGATCACTCGCCTGAATCTATGGGTATGGGTTTGTGTATCTTACAACACAAATCGTCCATTGACCAAGTCAGAAGCCGGCGCAAGCTCCTCAGTCACTGCTAGGCTGCTAGACGGTAGGCTGCAAGAACGACACAAGAGCTAAGCAGCTCTGCTTCCCCATAGTTGTGTTGGTCTACAAGGCTTTGTTTTTGCATCCTGAAGTATCCTGCACACGGCCTCGTCATCTTCGAAGAGAGCAGCCATTGCGGACAGGTCCTCACCACCCTCCACGGCATCTTTGTCAACGAGAGGCATTGCCTTCGCTCCGCATGATGTCTGTGGGCACGCAAAAGAAAGTTGGATTATTTTCTGCCTCCGCATCCCCCGCAGGATTCTGTTTCGTTTCCAATGCTGCCTGCCCGGCCTGGCCAAGACTTTCAAAAACGCCCAAACGTGGTGGCATGATGACTGCAAGACTGCAATGTAACGCACTGCAAGGTGAAAGGTTCGCCTCGTCTGTTCGCTTCTTCTGGCAAAGTGCAAAGACAAGGAGGGTAAAATCTATGCAGCTATGCACGCACTTTGAGTCATGCCACCTTTCGTGTCGAAGAACACTCGGCAAACAAGTGCGAGCATTGGTCTGCGCGCCTTCACTTCCTTCACTGACTCCAAATGTTTTCCTAAGTCGATGGTCTTCGTGGTGTCCATAAGCCGCTGAGCTTTGTCCTCTTTCTCCATATGCCTGACTGTTGTTTTGGGGGAAGAGAGCTCGGGTGATTGCGGGAACGGTTACTTGGAAACACCCGTTACCGTGAGAGAAGTCCCACGTCTTTGGGCCCCAAGCAAATGGCGAAACATTCGAGAGTTGCAAACCCGTCAGCATTTCAAGCCTTCAAAACTTGAGAGCGTGTGGACGAAAGCAAGTAGGAAGAAGCAAGGAGGGGGCACGCAGTGCAGTCTTTTCGGTAAATCCATGCTAACTAAAGTGCGAGTCCAGATCTTTGAACGTCTTGGCGTGCCTATGGTCCAAACACAAAAGTTGGGTTTGTACAGAAGGTTTGTACAGAGGAGTTCTCCTCTTGTGGTTCCACCTGCCCTGCTTCAAGGAGATCCTTTCGAACCAGATCGAACCCCTGCGTCTTGCAGCACTTGAAGTTTGGGTGCGCGAGAAAGGTTTCACACGCATGCGCACAAAATGCACAAAAGCTGTGAAACCCAATATTGGGCACGTCGCCCCCAGGCAGCTGCGGCGCTTGCATGTGCTCGTCTGAGTGCTGGGACTTAAGAACGTTGCACGTTCGGGCAAAGAACTGGAACATGCCGCAAACTGTGAGCAGCGAGCTCATATGCTGCACCGCCTTCCAATTAGCATAGTGGCGGCTGTGGCCATGAAGTGATCTCTTTTTCGGGGCGGTCTCTAGAACACTTGCCAGTGCCAGATACAGCTGGTACAAGAGCCCAACAAGGGATTCTTCGCTTTTCTCCTCTGGGGGCTTGAGGGCTCTTGAAAGAGGTCTTCGTGACACTGCGAACCGCTTCGTTTTCCGCTGTGACCAGGTGGCTCAGGACAAGGCCCTGCATCAACTCAGGAAATGGTGGCGAGGTCTGACCCTTGATACGTGGATTCCGGGTGATTGTCGTGATGTTCTTGTTGCTCGCGCAGTTGGATTGGACCCGCACAGCAAAGCTGTGAACAGCAGGCTCAAGAGCCTGTTGAGTGATGCCTACAGCCATCAAGTGGCTGTTGCGACGGGCGGTATGCTCACCAATGCCGTCCCTATGTCTAAGCAGGGGCGTCCAGGAAGCATTCCTCATGTCTGTGGAGTCTGTGCGGACTGTGGTGCCAGTGTTGTTCCCAGCCTTGAGCATGTTCTGTGAGTTTGTCCTGCTTACGTATACCAGGATCTGAGGACAGTTGTTCCTCCGAATTGCCCCTTGGCTCGGCGTCTGGGATGGTGCACCTTCTTTTGCCAAGGTGGCGGCTCTTGCTTAAACAATCTTAACCAGATGGCCGCTAGCCGCTCGCGGGAATACTTCCGGGGAGGCCCCCATTCTTTTGTCCTTCACCGGTGCTGTGAGTCCCCATGGTGGTTTCGGCTGGGCGTGGGAGCAGCCTCCAGTAATCCAGGATACCTTTGACGCGAGTCTCCTGGGGGGCGTTGGGGCCCTGATATGTCAGGACCTAAGGCCACCTAAACTCTACTTTGACCCAAGAACAAGATGCTAAACAAGAGTGGCTATCCCAAACTATGATGACCTTTTAATTGGGCAGTCCCGGCTCAAGCCTGGAAAATCGCCGGGTTCAAGCTTTCGGAACATTTCTTGGGACAAAGTTGAGGTTGGGTCTGAGAAGTGTTCGACGATCATTTCAATGGCCCAAGGAAGTACTGGCTCGGGTCTCCAAGTTCCTTCGCTTTAAATAGCTGCTGTCTGGTATTCGGCATGTTTCTAGTCTTCGCACCCACTGTACTGTCTCCTACTGTGCTCGCTCGAAGCAGTAAACGATGAGGATAAAGACTCTCCGGCTAGATCCTGTTTTGCCCGATGTTGCCGTGCTTTCGACTCCCAGTCAGACGATGACTGCCACAATGTTCATTTCTGAATCACGGCAGGTGGACTGCTCTGTGAGCAGTGTAAGGTGTGCTTTTTGCATTGAGGACTCGAATGTGTAAGGAGCGTGAGCAGGCTGTTTGGCGTGCGGGCGAGCATGCTTCAAACAAGCTAGTGAGGCAGTGTGACGCAGTACTCGCTGCGCATATGTTGGGGGGTTCGTACGTGGCGGCAAGCATGTCTTCGTGCTTCCGTTGCCCAGGCTGCCGGCTTCTCTTTATCCTTCTGACGCTGGTGATCGTCCGACTCCTGGCAAGCACTTCAGCGAGGAAGCCTGCTCATAACACAAGGAAGACACAAGGTGGTCCATGGAGAAATGCATCACCGTCTTACTTTTCTGAAAAACAAGCAGCACGACAGCGTGCTGGAAATCAAAAGAGTTTGGAGCGGAAAGATCCGGTGAGTGCACATTGTATACATTGATATCATGTCAACATGACCTTGAGGCCCACAAAGGCCCATGACTGCTCTTGTAAGCGGATCTTTAAGATTCGGCCCGTTGGGCAAATTCTCCATGTTCTGCCACTGGTCTTCGATCAGCAGACGGAAGATCACGTGGTGAGGCAAGAGGTCGACTGCCAAAGCGATCACCACGCCAAACAATTAACGCATTAAAATGCCGTAGCTGGGTGATACCATGACGCTGCGCACTCAGACTCATTGCCCTACCCTTATCGCCGTCGAGCTGTTGATTCTGCAGCCGATCATGGTACCCATATAGGTTCCTAGACTACATCATGCATCTGCTTCTGGGTATAAATAATCTGGGGAGTTCATCACCAAGCTTGTAACGCATTCATTGTGCCCCACGCTTACCTGAGTTTCAGGTCAAAGCAGAGGTTCATGCTTTACTGATCTTCACATGGACCATCCGTTTTGCATTGCACCAGGACACCGGAGTCGAGCTACCAGACACCTGACAACTCCGGAGGCCCGAAGGCTGCACAATGCTGAGAATACCTGACACTGAGACACAATGCTGTGTGGCCAAGTGTCCGCCTCGATGGAGTCACACAGATGACCGGCGAGACTGTGTTCACAGGTCTGCCGGTTGAAGTCCCAAAGCTTCATGGCCTGACAAATGCCAAGATCATCAAAAGGCCACGTAGGCCATCATGGAACAGGAACAAGCAATGCTCCAAAAGTCCTCCCGAAGCAGCTGTGTCCAGGCCTGAGGCGAGCCGCACAAAGCCTTGCCATGCTCCCAGTCCACAGACATTGTGGTGACCTCACTTGGCCAGGAACTTGCCAGTGCAAAATGCCGAAAAGCCGCACAATGAAGGTTGCTGAAAATTTGAAACAGAATGCTCAGGTGTAGGCCGAACTGCCATGCATCAGTATTGTGAGACACTCCTGGGATGCGCGAATTCGTGCAGACAGCAAGGGTTTGAAGTGGCCCAGGTCGGAACCTGCTTTTCCAGGTCCCACAATCGCAAAGTCCGATCCCAGGAGCTGCTTGCTGCTCGGCCTAAGGCTGTAAGATTTTGAGAGCAATGAGAGCGAACTCAATGCGCTGAACCAAGGCTTGACCAGGCCTCCTTTTCCGAGGGACACGGCGGAGACGCCGCTGGTGTGTCCATGCAATGTTGCCATGCCTCCAAAGACATCCACACCAGAAGCTACTCAGAGCTGCTCAGAGCTGCTCAGAGCTGCTCAGAGCTGCTCAGCGCTGCTCAGCGCTGCTCAGCGCAAAGGCTTTTGAAAGGCTGAGTCGGACACAGTCGCCACTTTGCAAACTCCAGTAGCGCAGGGTGCAGTCCTTCGCGGACTCCAGCATGCTCATTGATATGACATACCCTGGGCCCTCAAACCGAATTGCAGCTGCAAAGCATGCAGACACACACGCTGCGGAAGGCCGGTCCGCAGAGCCGCTTAAGGCCCGACTTCGGGCCCAATCCACATCGGCAGACCAAACCTCGCACTAGTGCAGCGCATGTGGGCAGTGCCATGCAGTGCCAGGCAGTGCCAGGCAGTGCCATGCAGAGCCACACTCAAGACATCTGTAGCAAAAGCAATACCAGCGTGCCTCGTCTTGGTGTCCGTGTAAAGAGCGGATGCAGCTAGACTCAGCATCCAGATCCCAGAGCTTCAATGTACCTGAACACAAATGATTTGGCGGCCCATGTGTTGGAGCAAGGATTTCAGAGCCTCCACCCCGACGCTTCGCAGTAAAAAGTTAGATGTTGAAGGCATTGTAACGCTATGTCCCGGCTCTGTGCTGGCATGTGATAGGCTGCTCTATTGTTCGTTCAGACCTGCCAGGAAAGCACAGCCCAAGAAATCCTCTGCAAGCAGCATTTGTTACAAAGCATGCGCCGACAAGACATTGCATAACTGCTCATTAGAGCGTGCCCCATGCTTTTTCAAACGAACGCACCGGCTGCACAGGATTCTTCGCCACCATGCTCCATGAAGCAGAAGAAGAGACGGTGATCTCCCCAAACAAAAGCCACCAACGATGACGTCATGTTTTTCCAGGCAAACCGATCTGGTGAGTGCATATGTACATGCGGAGCGTATGCGGCGTCGCCCTTGTCAAGCCCTTCTCACGTGCAGCGCATTGCCAGAAATTGAGGCTTTTCGCTTATACGCAATCTCGGCACGCGCGCGCACTCGGCCATGTGAACCATCAGCACTCCCTCAGCATAGCAAATCGAGGCAGGTTGGGTTCACATTTTTTGAGAACCAGAAACCAAAAGGGCACCACCCGTCCGTTAGAGACTTTAGTGTTCTTTTAATGTCAGGGCTGCCCCTGGCAAGGATACACTGCTGCTGCAGGTTATAGCGCTATGGGCTTGGCCAAAGCTGCAAGAACTCTGCAAGGCCATGACATCACACACAGGTGCAGGATCGCACCGCGAGCTTCCTCGACATATCCTTCGTTCACTTGCGGGGATGTCTTCCTGCACCGCTGGAGTTCGAATACCTTCTTGCTTTGCGCAGGGCCTTCTTGTAGTGCTGCATGCTGAGGTTGCGCGGCTAGTGGTTAAATATCACTTCACAGCCCCCACTTCACAGCCCCCTCTGCCTCTAGACTTTGTGTATTCATCCACTCAGTTCTCCGATTCAACTGAGAACAAAAAGCAAGCTGTGCGTGACAGCTGCAAGTCCACAGATTTTATCGATGACCCGAAGATGGAGAGATCTGTAATGCACGCAGATACTGCGCCTATTCATCCCTCGAGACTATACAAAAACCCAAGACCGGAGGTCTCGAGTCGAGTGCCAACCACGTGAAGACAAGCCGCTCGAAGAAAGAAAGAAAGAAAAGCTAGTTCATAGATAGAGTCGCAAAGACATCTGGAGAGTTTTCTTACCAGCCCTGTACTCCACAGTTGCCAGCTGTTACTATGTGTTGCTATCCTCTCCCCTCTCCTGCTAGCTCTCGCCCAATGCGAACTTACGGGCCGTCTGCAGCGGATCCGTTTTAGGCTTCCGTGCTTTATTGTATTTCATTGTATTTCATGGTGTTTCAGTGTATTTCAGTGTATTTCATTGTATTTCATTGTGTTTCACTGTATTTCATTGTATTTCATTGTACTTAATTGTATGTCATTGTATTTCAGTGTATTTCAGTGTATCTCAGTGTATTTCAGTGTATTTGATCGTATTTCAGCGTATGTCATTGCATTTCATTGTATTTCAGTGTATTTCAGCGTATCTCAGTGTATTTCAGTGTATTTGATCGTATTTCAGCATATGTCATTGCATTTCATTTTATTTCATTGTATTTCAGTGTATTTCATTGTATTTCAATATATTTCAGCGTCTTTCACTGTATTTCATTCTATTTCGTCGTAGTTCATTGTAACGGTTATTGCTTTGTATTGCATTGTTTTTCATTGCATACGATTGTATTTCCTCGCTTGCTCAGTTGTCTTTGGGGCATGGAGTGTGGATCCAGAGTGTACTGATTTGGAGATGTAACTACCTGTCGGAAAATGCAGCAACGCCCCACAGAGCACAGCATAAAGACGCAATGGTAAGTCAGGCAAGGCACCATCGCACGAACCACTCAAAGCGCGACGGCGGGGCCAATTGAGCCTTCGACACTCAATGAAAAATAGGTACTCGTTCTGACAGCGGGGAAAAAAGTCGGCCTAACCACCTTCACCATGCTGTCGTGGCCCTTGAAGGTACCAAGGCATGCCTCAGATGTGGCAGATTGTGGCAGTTGAGAGCAGTCCGTGCAATCAGATGTGAAAAAAGGCTGAGCCCAAGCACGCCAGTCTCATTGTCCCACAGTTTCACCTGCTTGTCCCACGAACCTGTAGGACTCTAGGACAAAGAGCAATCACACAGAGGAGAAACGCATCACCCCAACCATCAATGGCCCAAGTGTAAAAAGCTGCAGGGCGTTTTCTACTTTCAAACCTGCTGCCGTACTGACAGCTAAGAACAGCAAGAAAATGTAAGAAAGCTGGAGGCAAGAAAGCCTCCAGAAAAAGTCAGCACAAGATTCAATGCTAGAATCGCAGGTGGGCAGGGGTCCGCAGGGGGCAAGGGTCCACAAGGAGGCAAACGAACGGAAACTTCGCACGGCCAAGACAATGCCAGCGTCACAAGTAATCCTCCGTACAGGCTGGGCAAGTTATTGGAGTGCATGTGAGATTATTTGAAAGTCTGCAGCGTCTTGCGCCGCGGGATCTACATGGATCTGCCATAGAAGCGCCGGAACCGCCTTAAAAGGGTTTCGATGAAGCTGAAGGGTAAAAGATGCAGCACGAGGGCTCCTTGATACCCTAGGGCGTGTGCGAGCGTGACCATAGACAGCATCAAAGAGTTGAAGAGAAAGCCAGTGGTATGCGACGACCTCGAATGCTAACGCGACCCTTCGGCTCTTGGGCTCTACGGCATCCACGAACATGATGAGCAGCACCTGACTAGCACCTGCAAATTTCATCAGGAGTTGAGTCCGGAGGCCTCAATGGAGCTGTTTTCAAGGGTTGGAGGGAAGGTGCGGAGGGGGGGGTGGGCAAGGGGATGTGGGAGGATTCGACCGACGCGTTTTGACGCGAACGTGCACGGCTTCAACACGACCATATCCGCTACACCGATCTCTTATGCAAGGGAACTAAACTATACCCTACATCTACTCCTCCATTGAGCGTGGACTTCCATGGGAGAGACAACCATTAAAGGGGTGGTGAATGGGATTTGCATGCTTTTGGGAGGCCCTGGCAGCGCATCGTGGCCAGGCATGCCGTCCCGCGCGGTACCCCTCGGGCCCCCCACAATGACCACCATCAGCGGACGCCACTTGGAAAGTGCCCATGCAAGTAACAGCACTTGCACTACAAGTCAAGTCACCCTGAAGGTCCTGCCTGTGAGAATGCGGCTATTGGCATGATCGAAATCAAGACCTTCAGAGCTTGATGTCGCCGTTGCAAGACGTTGCAAGACGAGTCAGAACAAGAGCCATCGATCGCTGTACTTGGCAAAGCAGGCAAGGCTCACGGGAGAAGCTCACGTAAGCTTCACGCAAAATGCAGGATGATCGTTCATTTGAAAGGCTTGAACCTAAGCATTTTGGAACGGAGAAGTCGAACCTTGCACGGCCATCTACGAATTTATCAGCAGCTGCGGCCGTCACGCAGATACAGTGATCCAAATCCCACACGCGAAGTGTGCAATCCTTGGTGCCGAACGACACAGAACCAATCTGAGGGGATGCGATGGGATGCGAACACCTGGGCCATGCACGTGCGCGCCACTCACCGCGTACCTGGACTTCCAATCTACCTCAGTGCAGCCGCCAACAAAAACGGGCAAACTGGAAGCCAAAGCTCAGGCAGACTACTGCCACCGCCATCACGCCGTCTCCATGACCTCGCAAGGTTTGCACCTGCAGCAAAGGAGCAGATGATTGTCAAACTGCTCCGCAGTGTGGCGGATATCTGATTAAGCTGCGTGCGCAACTTGCTCTTTCCATATCCCACATCTTGAGCGTGCAATCCTGAAATCAGTGGCAAGGTGTCATGGGGGTGTATATTGCTTCCGGCGGGGGAAACGGGGCTGAAGAGCGCAATTGAAGTTTCGAAAACAAGGGATGCAAGGAACGCTCCCCTCCACATTTGACTCTTGATTTGTCAGACTGCGAAAGCCTTAATTAGATTCGTTTCCGAACGAGCAAGACAGATGGCAAACGACAACTCCTGCAAGATCCCAAGCAAGGAGCTAGCTTTCGTGGTCAAGGTCCCCCTAGCGTAAGATATGCAAAGATCAACTGTGTGCTTGAGTCCTTATACCTGAACCGAGGGATGTTGAGGCGATGTGAACGGGAGAAACTTGGTGAAACCCTTGGGCTTGCTGACAGATCTGCATATGCTCCGAGTACGCAGCTGTGCTGCAAGTCAATGCAAATGGCCTGTGCATGCGTGCGGAAGCTTTGAGGGCTCCGTCAAATGCTCTGCTGGCACTGTTGATCTCTGCTGATGACTGCTGCATTTAGGGCCTGAAGATCCTCAGAAGCTGAAGTTGTGGAGGTGGCCCAGCAAGCTCAGTGAAGAAAGTGTCCAGTAGCACCTGAACGTTTGATTGGGATTGGCCATGGAGTTATGAACTGATGCAACCGGATGAGCCTCGTCATCTCTTATCTGCCTGCCGCTGCAAACTAGAGACAGCTCAGTCTCATGTATTCCCGACCTTGGTCGCGAAAAACAAGGTCAAGGACTGCTGACAAACAACGCTTGTAGTAGCATGTGACTTGAAGAGGCGCCAACAGTTCCGCCAGTCGTTCCTTGACCTCTGCACCCTGGCAAGGCCAATAACATGCGACAGGTGCTTGTGCTGTGAATGCGTGTCAACACATGGACCACATCTAGCCGTCACTTCGTCTAGCAAAGGCCGCGCAAGATGCGGAAACATGTCACGCACTGAGCCTTTTTGTGCATTTTTGACCTCGTTTGACTCTTGACTGACGGTTGACTGACATTTGACTGACAGTTTCCCGGACGTAAGTCCCTTCAAGGGCCACTGAGTGAAAGCATGGAAGCCAAAGCCAGGCCAGGCCGTAAGTGCCCTTAGGGAGAACTCGCGCCGCTGACCAAAGGTGTGACCCGGCATTTCTTCCGCGTGTTCTCCAGCCGAAGCCAACTTGTGCATAACCGCTGCACGTCACTCAGATATGAGGAGGAGGACGGAAAGGAGAACGAGGGGGAAGGAGAAGGAGGGGGAAGGAGGAACGTGGGAGGCTTCCGGCAAGCGACGGACCCTGCCGTTGTCATGGCGTCTTATCTCAGGGCTTAGGGACTAGGATGTTGAAGGCAAGTCTTCTTCACCCGACCTCTTTTTCTGAGCCCACGCGGCGGGCCGGCCAACGATGGGCGTGTACAGACATTTTTGTAGTCACGTTCTTATGTCTGGGGGAAAACGCTGCTAAACTGGTGTGGTTCGCCCAAAACGTCCTGCGCGCCCGAAACACGCCCCAAAAACACGTGGACGTTACTCCTCGAGCACGTCGCACTTTGCACGAAATGCGTATACTTTTCCACAGCGCGGGCATGTGCACGGATTTCCTGCGCCACGAAACATGGCAAATTACATACTTGGCTTCGTGGATGTTGTCGCATCGCTCTCTCGCCTCCTGGGTTTAGGGGTGGAAATCGTGCTCTCCGCCCAGGTCCCGGTGCTTTTTTCGAGGCTTGCATCGCTCACCTGAAAACGTGGCAGCCGCGCTAAGGCCGCTAAGGGGATTTGTAATTCGCGATGTTGCAAATCGCTCGCCTAGGCACCGCAAGCGTCGACGTCGCCATCAAAACTCGCGAAATGCGGAACTCTTGAAACTGTCGTGGCTTTTCGTGTCCTTGGAAAACACTCGGAGCTCTGGTGGCCGGAGCTCTGCTAGTTCGAAAGTCGACTGTGTAGGACAAAGGTAGTACGCGGAGGACGGCTGGAGCTCCGGTGGCAAAAAGTCGTTCTTTCGTGACCCATGACCCATGTGGTCTCTCACTGTTTAGGCTCGACGCTGGCATATTCTGCATGCATAGACAAAGAGGTTGGAATCTTATTGCTGTAAGCATACTATATATATTTTTTTTTCACATGATAAATAAAATACATAAATTTATTTATATATATATATATGGTACCCCCCCCCCCAGTGACCTACCTTTGTCGCCTTGTCTCAAGTCACCCTGCTGCACTGCAAGCAAACTCGGTGTGCAATATAGCGTATTTCCTAGGGCGTAGACAAAAGCACAACTAAAATCGCATACACGGGACAGTAGAAAAACCAAGAACACCAAAACCAAAAAAAAACAAAAAACCCAAAGCCAAAAAAAACAAAAAAAACAAAAAAAAAACAATTTTCCGGAACTCTCAGGAATCCCTATGAGGCTTCTCCAAGAGTCCCGGAAAATTGGTGTTTTTGGTATTTTTGGTTTTTTTGGTTTTGGTTTTTTTGGTTTTTTTGGGTTTTTGGTTTTTTTAGTTTTGATATTTTGGCTTTTTGGTTCACCTTCACGGTCACGAGGCAACAACTCCGCATTTTTAAGTGTGCTTGTGCTAATTGTGCTTTTCAGAAATAGTATACAAGTGGTCTTTCTAGTGCTTCAGAACTATTTGCTTCGTTATTATGCACGTAGAACCGCTTCGCTTCTTTTTCAACTAGTGTTTAGTGCATCTTGTGGTTGTACTCAAGTGTAGTAGACCTTCTTCAGCCATTGCTTGGTGCTCTGGTAGCTAAGTTCGCATGGGTAATATTTGCCTGGTAAAAGCGATTAATTATCTAGAAGCAGCATTTGCAATGCTTGTCTTGAGAAAAAGCATTTATTGCTTAGAATTGTTTGCTTAAAAAGTGACTCCTACTCGTCCAGGGATACCCAAAACCCTATAATCCAAACTTCACCAGAGATTCTCCTGAAAAGCTTGCGCTTTTGGATGTTTTTTTGTATTTTTGAATTTGCTTGTGTATGGCCTTCACTAAGTACTTTTCTAGGATTCTTGTGCATTCTTTTAAGCCTGATTGTGCAAGTTGTGTTTTTCAAACATAGTATATAAGTGGTCTTTATTGAATACTTCACACATCTTTGTTTCATCGTTATGTAAGTAGAACCTCTTCTATTTCCATTATTGCGCATGTTTAAGCTTGCTTATGCAAATTGTGCTTTTCAGACATAGTGTATAAGTGGTCCTTTAAATGGTATTCACTTGAGTCAAATTGGGCTATTTGCTTCATACTTACTCTAGTAGCTACATTTGCATAGAATGGTTATTTCAAAAATGAAAAAATGTTTCATGAATATGTAAACATAAGGTTCAGTGGACTTTTCAGATAGTATTTGATTCATACTTTGCCTAGTACAAACACAATTGTATAAATACAGTAGTTGCTCAACAAAGCATTATTTGCCCTTTAAACGCACACTTTGCCATATTTTGGTGGAGAATGGTGTCTATTTCGTATCTTGGTTGGGTATGCTCCTTAAATAGTATTCACTTGAGTCAAATTGGGCTCTTTGCTTAATAATTACTCTAATAGTTAAATTCGCATAGAATCAAGAAAATGTTTCACTATTTGATTAATACTTTTCCTCGTACAAACACAATTGTATAAATGATTTAGTTGCTCAACAAAACATTAATTGCCCGTTTAAACGCACAATTTGCATAGAAAAAACACAGATCTAAACATCTAAAAACAGCATTGTCCGCTTCAGATTCAAAATGTAGATTAATCCAACGCTGGCTCATCGGGGTCTGTGAGGTGTGTCCCAGTAACTGTCCTTCATTACCCGGTGATTAACTACGCGACTTTTGGGCCTTCGTTGTTGTTTTTTGTTAAAAAGGCCGAAAAAGGCCTAAAAAGGGTAGGTCGCTGGGGGGGGTAGCATATATATATATATAGATATAAATACGGGTAATCGGTTATCTCCCCCACTCTACACTTTCATCAGGGACCCAGTAATCAAACCATTAACCCATGAACCCATTAACCCAGTAACCCATTAACCCATTAAGCCATTAACCCATTAACCCATTAACCCATTAACCCATTAACCCATTAACCCATTAACCCATTAACCCATTAAGCCATTAAGCCATTAACCCAATCCTTTTGGCCATACGACTGCGCTAATAATGGGTTTAGGGGTTAACCCATTAACCCATCCCATTAACCAATCCTTTTGGCCATGTGACTGGGTTAATGGGTTCATCGGTTCACCCATTAACCCCTAAACCCCTTTAACCCCTTAACCCCTCAACCCATTCACCCATTAACCTAATAACCCATTAACCCAATGTTTTTGGCCATATGGCTGGGCTAATGGGTTTAGGGGTTAGCCCATTAACCCATTAACCCATTAGCACATTAAACCATTACCCCATTAACCCATTGACTCATTAACCCATTAACCCATTCCCATTAACCCATCAACCCATCAACCCATCAACCCATTAACCCATTAACCCATTAACCCATGAACCCATTAACCCATTAACCCATGTACCCATGTACCCATGTACCGATTAACCCATTAACCCATTAACCCATTAACTCATTCACCCATTAACCCATTAACCCATTAACCCATTAACCCATGAACCCATTAACCCAATGGTTTGGACCATGTGCCTGGGTCAATGGTCTCCTGGGTCAAGTCATCAACACATAACCCAATCATATGGCCCATGTGACTGGGTTCACGGGTTAATTAGTGGGTTAATGGGTTAACCTATTAAACCAATAACCCAATCACGCGGCCAATATGGCTGGGTTAACTGACGGGTTCATGGATACCCAGTAGCCCAATCAGAAGGGTCATATCCCTGGGTTAATGGCTTGATGGGCTAATGGGCTATTTAATCGTTTAATGGGCTAGTTGAGGGGGCAACCGGTTATGAAAATCCAAGAGCTGCTGCCTTGAATTCTGCGCCCGAACGTTTAGCACATGAGGCTACACTGCTACAGCACTGCCCGAACATCTTGGACTCGGACTATAACTATGCAAGCAAGCATTCTCACCCCTCTCGTCTAGTAGCCATCCTGTCAATATCTATCACACGAGGAACACTTTTAGCAGCAAGTGATAAATGCATCCGTTCCACTTGTCTGACGGCGTCCAAAGCAAAGCCGCTGCCAAAAGTGCGAGGCCGCAATACGCCCAGTGGTTTGAAGAACGCCAGACATCGCGCGGCCCGCAACTTGAAAGAAGCACAGCGCAACAAGCTAACGCAGTTGAGCGTCCAGATGCGCCGCTACGGCTTCGGCACGGGTCTAAGGATGCCCAGAACTGTGGCGAACCGCTTCCTGCCCGCCCTCTGCCCATTTTCCGCTGACCTGCAACATGGGATACCTGCAAAACAAACTGGCGTTACACGCAAATCGTTGCCAGAGCCTGCAGAACGTCGGCCAACGGTCGCCGCACAGACGACGCCTTGCTGACTGCGCCGCAGACCCTCGAATTGTCGCAGCCTTGTCGGACCACCACCTGTGTCGGGCAGACCCGACTGTCCGCCATCAGTAACTCGCTGAGCACGCAGATCACTACGACCATGCGCCTGCACAAACCAACTCTGCAGCCTGAATTGCAATGGGAAACCAACAGATAGACGCTGGGCAAATCCCATCGCTCCATAGCATTTACCAGCCCCCAACGCCAGCACTCTGGCCTTGCGCGTACGCATCAGCTGCCGCCAAGACACGAGGTCCCTTCTTGCGCACCAGCTGCACTTCCACATTTTTCGGCAAGCTGTGATAGAAATCAGCGACCTGTGCCTCCAGCCATCGCCAAATTTGATCCAAGCACGACCTTCAACTGTGCTTTTAGCACGTGTCGCGGGCAGTGAAAAGGAACACGTCCGACTTCCAAAACGCGCCAACCTTGCATGACCACGTCCTATTTGCAAGTGGTGTCTGTTCAGTGCACGGGGAAACGTTGGCAGCGGGTGCCGTGGAGGCAGACTGTCAGTGAGGAGGCCAGCCAAGAGATCCGTGCGAAGCGTGCTGGGTTGCCCAGCGATGCAGTCAATCTTAGAGACGCAAGGCAACGCTTGCACCGTGTGCAGTGCATGTCACTTGGGCTCTTGGCACACGCGCGTAATGAAGTTTATGAGCTACTATACCCGCCGGCCAACGGAGTCCATGCGTCCACCATGTCCACCCACGAGCACCGAGGCTGAGGAGGCGGATCGGGCGGCTCTGGCGGAGGTCTTCAATCTATGCTTTGATGGCACGTCGTTGGACGACGGGCTCAATCATGTGGTTTTGGAACGAGATCTGCTGCGACACTTGTTGCTTCTGCAGCCCAAGACACAGAAGCAGCCTACTGCCCCGAAGAAGCGCAACGTTGAGATCGTTCCCCATGTCCCAGCTCCGTTGCCGCCGTTGCGGGACAACAAGCGTGGGTCTGGAGACAAGCTCTGCGCTGGTGAGCGCCACACCTGCGTGTCGGTGCAAGCATGCTTGTGCTCAATGCGGCAGCGCAGGTCTTGCGCCAAGGATCGTCGGCAGTGACTAGGCCGTGCCAGCGCGGTGCAGCCGGATACTCGCGACACTCTGCAGACGAAGGCAGGCGTCTTGTGCAACAGATGAAACAATTGACGCAACCAAGGCCGAAGCCCACGCTCGCCAGAAGCGAACCAAGACAAGAGACCAACCTTGCGCCTTGCGCGCTGTCCATCACTAAGATCTCCCAGGTCGTAAGCGTGGAGGGTGAGATTCACACTTGCCCGTTTCTGTCTGACGCCGGTAACGTCGCCGGCGAAAACACATGTGCTGGAAGCTTCTTCTCCGTCTCTTTTCGCACAGTCGGTCGTTGTCAGCTTCGTTGCGCTCCCTGGGACTGAATGCCACCCGTGCCTGGCACCGAAGGACCACCCGGCTGGCTGGCACAGCTTCCAAAGCAAACGCGCAACTTCGCCGCAGTCGGACGCGTGGACCAATCCTCTGCCGACAAGTTCTTGACTGCGTCTCCAAGACTAGGTTGTACCTCATCAACCAGCCGTCCAGTGCATTCGCGTCAGTGAAGGCATTGGCAAAAATGTCCGCTGAATCATAACCTTGCGCGATAACCCCTCTCGCAAGGCCTCCGCCAGACCCGACTTCGACAACTGCTCTGCCGAGGCACCGGCCATGTCAGCAACGCGAGAAGCAAGAAGAGGGCACACGTAGCCTCACGCTACGGAGAATTTAATTTGCGGAGCATCGCTGCCCAAACTCAAATCCACGCATCACGCGCCGCATGACCCGGACGCCAGCTCCACAGCCCGACGACATCCAGTCAAAAAGTTGACAATCCACGGGCCTGCAAATGGGGTGACCAAAACACCATCCGCTTCCCCATCAATCATCACCTCATCCTCCTCTTCACTTGCCACGCTGTCAACATCCAAAAACTCATCCAAAGCTGCGGCGTCGTCTTCACTTTCTGCTTCATCTTCCGTGTATGAAGTGAAGGTCTTTGGCTTCGCAAAGCACCTGCGGCTGGCGCTCTCTCACGATAACGGTGCCCCGAGACGAAGGCGTACTAGGAACCCGGCCCCTGCTGATCTTAGAAAAAATTGCTGCGCTGACATCGTAGCGCAGGTAGCACGTCATCTCGCCTGTATTTCTCCACACAGCCGGAGGAATTTTGGCACGCTCCCCCGCCGAGACGCTGAGCTGACTGGCCCAGCTTAAGCTCGCTGTCGTTGCCTTCAAGCTGCGCATCGTGTAGACACCTACCTCGGACCGTAAATTGCGCCAATAGGGCACACGACCATGCCCCGCCAACATGGCCTAACAGGAAATCGCGCTCTGGGCCGCGAACATACGTCCCCACATGCCGCGTGTAGCTCCACCAAGAAGGCAGCCCCAGGAAAAACCTGTTGCACTGGTCTTCGAACGCCAATGAGCACGCGTTACACCCCGATCAGGGCGAGCACCCTCTGCAAGTGCGTCTGGGAACTCCACCACATCCCGGCAAGAAGGAAGCCAACGTCGCCATCCGCACAGGTGTTTCTTCAGGGTACTTGGCCCTCGGTCAGAAACAAGTAGATCATCCGCTCGGTCCCCAAACCTGCCAAAGCCTGCAGCACTGGGCTGTGTGATGATGGTCTTCAACAGCACGAAGACGCAGCGACGCACCACACCCTGCATTGGCGCTAAAGTTTTAGCACGCACAGCGATCGGAGGCCCACCACTAGTGGACGTTCGCGGGGGGTCAACCGCAGATTTGCTTCCGTCGACTCCGGCAGCATCACATTTGACAAACTGTTGTCGGTGCACGGTTTCAAAGACAAGCGGTAAGGCAGAGTCACCGAGCCCAGCGTCTTTGGAACTGCCACGACCGCCTGAGCCACCTGATGTGAACTTCGAACCACAGGGCCTGGCCGAGCAGCGCTTCCCACTTCTTTTGTCTCGGAGACCTGAAAACGACTACGGCTCAGCGACAGGGGCATCAAGCAACAGCAAGGACACAAAGAACAAGCAAGCAACGGCACCGCCGCAGAGAAACACCGGGAGGCCGGGGAAAATCATATACTGCAGCACCCAGCTGCAGTCACTCTTGGCTCCAACTGGAACATGGCACACACAGACTCTAGGGATTGCTTGACGCATCATGCGACAGGTTCCAACAGTCAGAACAACACAGATGCTGTTTGGCAACAACGACGAACAGAAAGCTTAGAGGTATAATCCGCAAAAGAGTGTGAATCTCACGAAGCACACGTCACCCGTACGCACATGGTCGCACGCTCGAACACACAGCAAGGTCGGCAAGGAAGCAGGGAGAGGCGGTAGGGAAAAAAGACACATCTTCTGTGCAATGTTGTCTTGAGAGGAACATTGCAGCACATATGGTAACATATGTAACATAACTTCGGTCATCCGTCACCTTGGCAGTGTTGCCAATGATGAACTTCCAGGACCGGCCACTGAGCATCGCAACCTCAGCCCGGGCTTCGCACACGTCCAAAAAAAGTCATCTAGGAGTAAACATGAGCCAACTCGTCCATGCAAAAGAAAGCACCGTCGCGCATGCTGACGACTGAGTGATTCTGGCCTCGACTTCAAGCCCTGCTGCATCACTCTCCCAGCATATCCAACGCTGGCGGTTGGCCTTGCTGGGCACATACTGAAGAGTGTGTTCTTCGAAGCAAGCGCAGCAAATATTACACGGCACCTGCTGACGCAAGTGGCACAGCTCCTCCGGTCCACGTTACGAGCTTACGCCGCTTACGCTCGAAGAAGTTGCTGGAGAGAGACACCAACAGAAACAACAGTCCTTTCGCATCATGGAAGCACATGGCTTTGGCTTCTTCTGGAAGAACCTCCTCCGCACACATCGCAAAAGATCGCAAGAGCAGCCCGCTGCGAGCCATGAGATGACGGCCTGTTGGGCAAGCCCAGGCTTTGCCCCTTGCCCAACGCACCCACCCCCACCCCGCCATGCCCAAGCAGAGTGCCAGTAGCGCTGTTATGTAGCCACATCGCGATGCATCGGCGATCACACTAGTAAACAAGCACTCACGCAACTCAAAACACTCATGATCCTTCATGGCAGGGGCTTGAATGGGTTGTTCTTCGACTCACTTCAAAAAAAATGTTCCACTGGCACTCCATTCCGCAATTAGATCGTTCACAAAAGTCAACATGACAATACGATCAAAATGCGTGTGAAGACCCTTCAATAAGCTACCATGTGCCAGCACCGAAGATGGAAGCAGTTTCTGGTCGGTCAGCAAGCTGGCGAATATCTGATGAAAAATTCGGCACAATGCCTCGAATTCCGGCATCAAGTTCAGGAAGTTCATACACCCGCTTTTGCCATCTTTTGCCTCTTTCCGTCACTGCCTTGTCATTGCTCGTTACTCGGGCCAGGCACCTTGCCAACCTCTGCCTTCTAAGGCACGGAATGGAGTACCGGAGAACGGCCCTGAAAACTTTCCAGAAACCATCAAAACGTCCTGAATGACTGAAGGATGGAGGACGAGCTGTCACAACCTGCACATGTCGTGGACTCTGTCTTAGACATCTTGGTACCACAGCTCCAACAGTGACAGCAAAACGTGCCTTCGGGAAAGCACATGTACAGATTCTGGAGAATTGTACCGAGGTCCTGGCACTCGGACTGCAAAAATCTCAGCACAACTCAACTCCAGAGCAGCGGTCCCAAAGCACTGTATATCTGACGTTGGTGGGACGGTGTAGCGACCTCCGATGAAGGCAAGCGGTGCGCACAACTGCTCAATGCATTTGATCGCGTGTCAGCAAGGCACCCCTGGCCATGGCCAGTCTTCCATCACAAGGGCATAGTATGCATACCAAGATGCTGCGCCAGGTCGCTGTAGGACTTCTCTAGTTCGCCCAGGCGATTGTTTGCGGAGTCCATGGCAGGTGCAGCCGGGGCTTTATACCAAGATATAGACTTGACTTGGTATTGTGGTGCGATGCTGCATTGGTGCTCAGTTTCAGGGGCTCAACCTTCGCAACAAGAATAGAACAGTGGTATTTGGCCATGGCAAGTATGCGTGGCTGTAAGGCAATATTGCTTAAACAAAAGCCACAAGATGACCACCCGAAAGCAACAAGCAGGAAGCATCAACGAGCAATTCGAACAGCGCTGCCAAGCCTGGGCCTCTTGAGCTGCTGCCGCCTCGCAATCTTGCAATCGAAAATCAAAAACACCACCAAGAACTCGGCATTTGCAAATTGCTCTGGCCGATTGCACATGATTGCGCACCTTTATCTTCTCAATGCCCATGATCCTGGCAAGCCGAAGCGTGCATCAAGCAGCGCGGGGCGAGCTCAAGCGGCAGCATTTCAGCTACAGCCATGTCACAGCGGTCAGGGCAAATTGATGTCAGAAGCACTGCAGCTTCATTGTGTCGTTCTTGACTTCAAGGTCGGCCAACTTTGTCTGTGCCTCAGTATATGAGAAGCACCCAAGCAGAGGATCCTCCAATACCTGGCCATTGCAACATCTCCCATCTAGGCAGCCGGCGGCGGTCCTCAAGTGGTGACAGTAGTCCACGTGACTGCTGATGTCAACCATCTCCTGCCAAATTATGCACAACCCGTGCATCCGCTAGTCTTTAAGCTTCCCTGTCCTTCATGAATCTCCTGGGCGCGCCAGTAGAACTAGAAAGAAGTCTGCGTTCAGAGTCTGACCTGAGAACAGAAATGTCACACGCACACCACCACATTGCCCAGAACTCATGGCCATCATCGGACAATAAGGGGCAATAAGGGCCGCGCTTTCTTTCCCAGTCAGACTGCAAACATTTCCACTCTCGGCCGGCACTCACCAAAAACTGGATCGCATTCTTGACCTGGCAAGACTTCGTCCGCTCGGCTAAAGTTTTGTTGACACCGGTGCTTCGCCAGGCTACCTCCTGGATCATATCGACGTACGTCATTTCCCTTTCAGCCGCCTTTTGAGACAGGATCTTCCTCGCGGAACAGGGCCAAAAGGCAGCGGGCCAAAACAAAACCCTGCGCATCTGCTGGCCTGGCCCACGCCTCCCAGCAAGTCGCTTGATTGAAGCGAAGTAGCATGTCGCCTTGCCTGCCAGCAGTGTGAGCTTGACCTGCATCCCCAATTGCGGGACCAAGGAAGTGACCAGAAAGAAACAGCTTCAGCCAGCGCATTCGATGCGTCTTCATACTCCTGGCCAGCTGCATGGCATGCCAAGCGAAACCAACAACTCCAACAAAAAAAACAGCAAAAACAAATAAACTTGGTCCTCCAGCATGAAATGGGCTTGGGCAATGTACAGCCGCACCTGCAGAATCCAGAAGGTTGAGGCCGATGAGGATGCGTCGAACCGAAGCTTCAGAGGCGCACAGATTTGTCTTCAGGCTCCAAGTTTTTGGCCATGTTGTACAGCTCAATGGCTTTCCTGGCCGCCGGATGTATTTAGTGCAACTTCACAAAGGAACTTGTACCGACCAATGGCCCCGTCCTGATATCCGCATCTTTTCCGGTGGACTCCAAATACACATGCGCCAAGTTTATGTACCTGTGTAAAGAACTGTCTGGAAGAGAACATTAAGCCGCCGTTGAGCTCTTTCCCAGATGCAGAAAAGAGTCGCTGAAGGATTCTCGTCCATGGCCTCACGAATAACGGGAAAAAGGGCGAGCAGGCGCAACTTCGTAAGCAAGGGGGCACGATAGGCACAGAGGAAAAAACCAAGAAAAGCGGATAGACAGGCAAAGAAAGGCAGAGACTGTCAGAACCACCAGAATTCACGAAGACAACTTTTGTCACATAGTATGGGTCATTCTCCAAGTTTGGAAGGGATTCATCAGGTATTCACGCAAAAATTTAAGGAAGGCACTACACCGAAAAGGGGAAGCAGGCCTAGAAACCCTAAGGAGAGGGGAGGGGAAACATGCTTGAGCTAGCAGAGCCAGAGAAGCACAGGGAGACAGACAGAGAAGCTAAGTTACGAAGAGGAAAAATCAACAGAAAGTTCTTTGGAGAAGGAACATGAAACTCTCAAAGGGGCAGAAAACTTGACATGCAACGGAAAGAGAGATAGAGAGAGAAATACAGAGAGAGAGAGAGATGGAGAAACAAAAACATCAAAATACAAAGCGAAAGAGAGAGAGAGAGAGAGCGGGAGAGAAAAAGAGAGAGAGAGAGACAGAAAGAAACAAAGAAAGAAAGGAAGGAAAGAAAGAAAGAAAGAAAGAAAGAGAGAGAGAGAGAGACCAGAGATAAAAGAAAATACAGAAAGAAAAGAAACAAAGAAAGAAGGGAGACAGACAGAGAGAGGGAGAGAGAAAGAGAGTGAGACTGAGAGGAGAGAGAGAGAGAGACAGACAGAGAGAGACAGAGAAAGAAAGGGAGAGAGAACTACAGTATGAAACGCAACGCCGCAATGGGAGTCACTGCCTTGTGCTGCACCACAGACTGGAAAGTCTGCTTGGCAAGGTCCTGGCATCGAACCGCGCGAACAAACTGCATCAGTCCTGTTGCATGACAAGGTAGATCGATGATCGATCCACTGCAACTCGTGCGCGTTTTTGATCGTGGCCCATTGTGTGTGCGTGTGCATGCGTCACGATTCGGTTGGAACAAACACTCATGTAAACATGTTCGACCAGCCAAATGTTTCCTTGTCAAAATCATTCGTTGAAAAGGGGCTGCGACCGTCCCTTTCCCAATTGCTGTTTGTCCGAGCTTCACACCATCTTTCCACGCTTCGCGAAAACCATGCCGAGGCCGTTGGCAGCAAATTGACAGTCCTCAACTGTCAGTTTCACATCAGCTATCAGCACAAAACGCCTCCATAAACGCGCCCTGTCCCCGGGCTTCATTGCGTACAGCTCTTGCCTAAGGGACTGGCCTTCTTGACTTCCAAAGCTTTGACAAAGTATTCCATAGCCTTCGCCCGCGCTCACAAACGTGGTTTACGTTACATGTGGCAAAGCCGGCAAAGGGCTTCCACAAAAGAACTGCAGAGCAAAGAGCCACACAGCAGAGCCTTTTTAAGGTAGTCGTCACTCATCGTCGGCCCTGTCTTGTGATTGGCTGAGGCCTCTCAGGCTGAGCTTTGGCACGCAGGAACATGCTAGCGCAGCGCTCGCAACCCATCACTTGTTGTGACGTCCTAACCACTTTCACGCACACCTCATAGAAAAGGTTGCCGACGAAGACACAGGCATAATAGTGCTCGTTCGACTGCGCTTGCTTTGCCTCAGCCGAGCTGATCCATGACGAAATCCGTCCCAATCCGCGTGCATCTCTTGTTCGAGTCTGCAGCTGCACGCTCACCCCACTTCAGCGCTTCCTCATACTTTCCCGCCGCTCGGAGCGCCTGCCAAGCCAAGCAAGATGACCTCAGCACTGCCCTGTGCCGTCTTGCTCACCTCGGAACAAAGAAGCTTGCCCAGAAAAGGGCTGTTCTTCATGGCCTCGCAGGATCTCACAGGTACAAGGCCAGAACTTCAGTGGAAAAACGCCAAGGCCTCCTGGAAATTTCTCAAAGCCTCCTCCGTCCTGCCCAAACGCTGCCTCAAAGTCCAAGTCAGGGTTCTGTTGTATGTGTCTTTCGCGCGTCTTGTCTTAAGAGTCTTAAGGTTGCGCTTTGGTGTGAATATTCCTTGGCTCTCATAAGCCTCGGCGCGGCGCACAAATGGGTGACAAAAAACCGTGCTCTGGACTAGCCCCCGAAAAGGCAACGATAAAGATAGAACGACGGAAATAAGTAGAGTAAACACAGAAAGAACGCCATACAAGAAACAACAAGGATATAATCAGTGCAAATAAGGACACTACAACTGAAGTACATACACCAAAGAACGAAAGAGCGTCGCAGCGACAGGTAAATGAACATAGCAAGCGACGCACCGAAAAACTTTTTTTCAAAAGAACAAGAAAACATAAAGAACGAAAGATATCACACAAGATAGACGGGCGATCTACTGAAAGCATAAAGACAGGAAGACCACGCACACAAAGCATGGCCAACAATATTCACATCAATGCAGAAAGCCATACCTACATCAATGATGCCTGGCCCTGGGTAGGCTCTTCTTCCTTGCTTCAACATGCCAGTGGGTTATTCCCAACTTGTCAGAAGGAGACGCGCAAAAGCGTGAGGTTGTCAGAAGAGACACGGAACCTTGTAGCTTAAACTAGCAGAGTCGGTTACTCAGGAAAGCGACAGCGAGCAGTTAGCTCAGCAACTCATTGGCATACCTACATCAATAGTGCAATAGCAAAAAACATGAATGAAGCAAAGAACTGCTAAACAACCACATCAAGGAATGCCTGTGATGGAAGGGATAGAGACGAGATACAGACATAAATTGCGCAACAAAGCCTGAGCAGAAGACGCAGCAAACGTAAACTCATAAAGCACAAGGCCATGACCAAAAATCAACCCATGCCTGAGAAAACTGTGTGACAGCGTGTAAACGGGGCACCCTGCCGTCCCCCTGTCCTCCCCCCGCTCCCTGCCCCGCTGCCCCCTGCCAACCCACAAAGCCAAGCCAATGCTGCTTTTGAAAGTCGAGAGCATGTTCATTCCGTTGCCGTCGCTGTCGTCCTTGCTTGTTCGGAAGTCATGACAAAGCACGGCTGCCGACCCCAACAGCATTTCGCACGCATCAGAAGTGCATCCTCGCTATGTAGATGTTTCAATAGAAACGGCGTCAGCAAACTGCTCCGCTCTGTGGCTCTGCACTCCTTGGTTACGTACTCTGCATAATGTTGGGCCTAGGGTTTAGGCTGTAGGGTTTGAGGGTTCTGCACGCTGTGCGGCGCAATGGCTCAACAGCTCAACACGGCGCAACGGCGCAACGGCGCAAAGCCGTTTTCGGGCATCATCCCGCATGTGACGAAACGGTTGAAGCAAAGAAACTCGAGTGGCAAACGATGGCGATGGAGCCTGGGTGAAGACTGTTGCAAAAGGGTGCTCGGGCCCGTGCAGCATGAACGAAGGGTCAACATGCTCTTCCTGGATTGTTTCGGTTGCGAGCGGTGGCCGAGAATGGCATTCATCAGCGCTCCCTTGAAAGAATTGAACAAGCCATCCTTTCAAAGTTTCAAGATGCGGTGCCTGGATCAAGGCTGTGCATGAACGTGAAACGCCTGGATGAACACACTTCGCTAATGAAGCACTAATGTTTTGATTTGTCGTGTGTGAGGAACCAAATGGAACCAAGTATGTTTGTGCATCAAGAGGCAAGGTTGGGCAGGGCTAGGCCTTCAGGACCCCATTGCTGTTACAAAACTGTTAAACACCACGCCATTTGTCTTTACTATGTGTCGTGTCATTGCTGTGTTACTTTCCGCTTCTTCCTTTCGGTCCTCTCCATGCTGCTTTTGCTGATAAATCAGATGCCCAGTGGGCGCCTGGGACTGGGTACTCCAGTGATGGTCTGTCTCTTCGGGATTGGCACTCACTCCGCGAGGTTGGGTCTGCAGGGATTCTCTTGGGGGCGGGGGTGGGCCACTCTAGAGATTCTCTGCAAGATTCTCGGAGAGGGAGTGTGAGGGAGGCCGGGAGGACCCGGGCGATGAGAGCCAATACAGTGAGCACGCGCCGCACATCCACACACACGAAGCGAATTCCAAAAGAAAGGAACGATTGTTTACCCGCATTGATGGCATCATATGGCCTCCACTCTTTCAACAAGGGCCCCGACCATTGCCCTCCAAGTTGGAGCAAAGCATCTGCGAACCACTTGACCTCCTCTGTTAGGGCCAGATACTCTCCAATCGCCTGACGACAGGGCGGTCAGCAAAGCAGACATTAACGCAGAGCTACCGAAGACTAGCGGTTCCACCATGTGTTTGGCACTTCGTCTGATTGCAGAAACGTACATAGAGGAGCAACAGGCGACCGGCGAGTCGGGACATGGAGTCGAAAACAGCGTAGGCCGAATCAGAAACCAAAGAAGACCGAAATTACCAAATCATAAATCAAGAAAGAGTCAGCAAAATGCAGGCAGACAGGAAGTATTTGTGTCAGAGCGGCCAGAAATCAGGGATTAAAGTTGAAGGTTCAGGTTGATGGCTCCCAATCCAATTCCGGTCGGTTTCCAAAGAGATGCTTGAAAGATTTGCCAGCATCGAATGGAAATTCAGTCTCCCAAAGAGGCACTTAAAAATTGTTGCGCATCGAACGAATCGAATGGTAGGATTGCGGTTGTAGTAGTAGGCCAGGTTCGTCTGGGCCAGCCAGGCATTGCAGAAACACGAGCCGCAGGGTTCTGGGTATATGTAACTAGTTGTTTAGAGCTCGGAAACGTACAAATCGCCCAGTTAAGTTGACGGCAACGGAGTCATACAGCCAATGCCACCCGTGTATTTCAGAATCACTGAGACCCAGAGGCAGGATCCATGCTGAGATATCCCTGGGGATGATGCTTGCTTGCCAAATCTGTGGATTCTTGGAGGTGTGACTACTGCGACTCTTGAAGCTGCAATCCTGCCATGCGATGCTGGCAAACAGGATGCAGGACATCCGAGATGTCGTATGAAATCTCAGGGCACTCCGTCTTTTCTAGCAGGGGTTCATTTCTGTTTAAGTTCATCACGGTGGCAAGGTGTGACCCTTGATAAGTGGATTCCGGTTGATCGCTCAGGTTCAGCGTGATGTCGACTCAGGCCAGGTGCTCAGAGGCATATCAAACAAGCAAACATGAAATGGTTTCATTCGCCTCGGGCGCACCTTCCTCGAAAAAAGAGATCCTACCCCATACAACAATTACTCACACGGCCATGAAGAAGTAGGCTTGGCTGGGCCCCAAAAGATCCCCAAAGCCAGGACTTTCGAAACAAACAGTAAACTGGACGCAAATGCTCTCTTTGCCCACAGTTCGGAGATCGAGCATTCCAAGGTGCTTCCCCCCAAGCACAGACAGAGAGAGAGAGAGAGAGAGCGAGCGAGGGAGATTTACAAACGAAAGTGAGCAAGACAGAGACAGAGAGAGGGAGGGAGCCCACCGCGCCTGCAGCATGTCACCCTCTTGCGCTTGGTTTTCCGCCAACCAGGCTTTGTTGAAACGCATGGTAATTTCAGCCACACGCAGGTCCTGAGTAGGAACGCACGAGCCGGCAAGTTGCTGCGAAAGACCCCAGCAAGCTGTCGTTTCGACATTCGGATGGCCTTCTCTGATTGGCCACTTGCATCGCCGAGCTGCTGCCTTAGTTCTCATGACCGCATGCTGCCTGTAACTCAACCGTCCCTCATGTTTACTAATCTGCCGAGGCCGGGGGCCTGAGGCGTTTTAGATCCAGGTCTAGGGAACCTTAGATAAGTTGCCCCGAACCCCCTGCAGCGGCCGCAGAGCAAGTGCGGGCGAGCTTTCTTTGACCCTAAATGGGTACCCCCCCCCTAGCTGACCAGCAAGACCAGGAGCGATCTTGGGCCAGGCATACTGGCCGTTTTCCCCGTCTCGACCCCCTGCCCGCCCCCAACCCCCCTACTCACCCCTCCCCCCCTGGAAGTGATGAGCCAGCCCCCTTTCCCCGCCCACAACAGCATCCTGTGGCACCCTTCCCCCAATTCCCGCCCCCCCCCACCCCCACCCCCCTTACCCCACGTGAATCCTGAATTCGCCTCGGTACCCATGCCGAGGCAGCTTCGCGTTTGCAGTTGGATTAACAAATTAACTTCCTCGCACGCGCATCTTCCAGTTCCCATGCGTTCAAAGAAGACATTCCCGTCTGACCTCAGTTTCCAACACCCGCCACCAACCCACCGAATCTGTGACACCCGCCCACTTGGGCCGCTTGCGGCACTCTCATGTCTGGTGTTCTCCCTCCTTTTTGCGAAGATCTCCATTTCGAAATCCTCCCTGCCTAGTGAGCACTCCGCTATTTTACAGTTCCTTTCTGGCAGTTGTTGCGCCGTGTTGCTCTTGCTGTGGCCTGAGAGCATTGCAATGAATACAACTGCAGCTTAAACGAGTAAGAGTATCACGTCAAGGATGCAAAAACAAAGCAAGCCACAAGGAGCAAGACGTCTGTGTGTGGAATGTGTATGTAATCTTGAACTAAACACATGTGATTTGGGGTTCGCGGCTTGCCAGCACATCTCCTGTTAGGGCCTAGACTGCTGCCCTGCTGAGCTTCGTGTTACTATCCACGAGAGAGCCTGCTCCTACTTTCCAGCACGATGTGCTCGAGATGAGAATTGTCGACGAACGCTTTCGTCAAAAGCAGTTGGTAAGGAACCGTACGACTCCCTCTGGGTCCCAAGGCATCTCCTCGACGCGCTCCATACCATGGTCGTACGCCTGCCATACAAAAAAAAACAAACAACAAGCGCCCCGAGTTGGAAACTCACCTCTTTGGCTTGGGCAGGATCGCCATGCATGGCCCTGACAGTGCCTTAAGCGAACAGGATGCAACAGGGCACTGCGCAGGGCACTGTCCCAGGCACAGGGCACTGTCACAGGGCGCCCCACCAAGGTTATTCCACATTTGCGGAGTGACTTTGGCCCATGCTTCAGGGTCCTAACGAGGAGCACTTTTTCCCATACACGCAAAGCGGGCGCGCACACGCAACACACTTCACTACACCAGTGATGAAGGCGAAGCAGCACACACGGAGCACAAGAGGCCTTCATCAATCTGGCCATTTGCTCGTACGATTCGATCGTTTCCTGTCACAAAGTGCTCTTTCATGAATCTGGCATGCTCAATGTCAACTGATGTCACTCGCCAAATCTGACGAACTGTTGACTTGTGATGTTCTTCTCCCCCTGCACTCCCTAGACTCAGACATACTCAGACCACAGCACCACTCGCCTCCATCAAGACCAACAGGGCTGAAAAATAGTGCTTCAGTTGTCTTCAGTTCTCATGGCTGGCAACCTTCTAGAGTCCTGCTGACCGTACGACCAAGTAGTTGTGACTTCTTTCACCTTCGCGAGTCGTGTTGGGAAGTTGGGCTCCTGCAACTTCTCTATGTGAAATGTGAACACGTGTTTGATAGAACGAAGTCCAAGCAACTTTTTTCGCTCTGCCCCAACTGAAGTCACAACTCCAAAACAGAGCGCCCGAGCCAGTCTACCCAGCTGGCGCCGGCCTTTGGTGTCAGCATCTTCTCCAGCCTGGAATACGCCTGCATTGGAGATGTAGTGGTGATGTTTACCAGTGTCTTGAATCTCGAACATCTAGAAAGGCCCATCCCCTGCGGCACCTCTGCCCTCATAGCCCAAGCCTGTGAGGCATCTCATCTTGACTCTTCGACACCGTGTTGTGATTTGCGCGCAGAAAGTCGGAAAAGCCTCAATGTCGTCTGGGCGAGCTTCAACCAAGTCGTCAGATATTTTTGAGGCCTTTTCACAGGAAAATTCTTCCAGCAACGGAGGTCAAGGCGCGCGCGACACGGCTAACGGATGTCACTTCCGCTTACTGCCCCGCTCCTGGCACCCATCCCACCCCCTGTTGGTCTGGGAAAAGAGTGGGGCATGGGAGGCAAAGCAAGTGGTTCGAGTTTGTCAAGATGGACAGAAGAACCAAGCGGGCACTAGTTAAGAGCCCTTCCGAGAAACCAAGTGAAGCATCTGCAGCATAGTCACCGCAGTGCCACATTGAGAAGCGCATTTCTATGTCGGCCCAGCTGCCAGCGAATGCTGGATAGATCGCACAAAACCGGAAAAGGGCTCCAAAAAAGCCTACATCTTTTCAAGATGTACGGAGGGCTGGGTTTACTGGATCAAAACCGTGCTTTCGTCGCTGCTTTGCAGCCAGGCTACCTGTACAGTTCGTGTAATGTGGTGCTGTCTCGACAGGTCTTTCGAAGATTGCCACCCTTCCCATGAAGGGCAATCAGAACTACACGAGCTCTCTTGTGGAGGCTAAAGCGCTTAGCACCGATGCGAGGTGTGGCCCTCAACCAGCTCGTATGGGCCCTTCGGCACGAGCCGAACTGCTATCCTGCGCGAAGTTATACGCAACAATCTGTGCCTAATCATGCATGATCCATGTGTTTGTCAAGCCATGTAGACTCTGATCCATGGCATGTCCAGCCGGATCCCCGCTGGTTGTCGAGCATCATCTTCAGCCTCATAAAAACTAGAACGGCCATGTAAGTCTTGCAGGCATTTGAAGCACAAGCCTGCAAACACAGCTTGAAGCGCGTAGAGAACATGAATGCTTTTGGCAGGGCACCAGTCGGTACAGATTTAAGCCACTTCACTCTTCTGGAGGTTTACTTTGCGTTGTGTGTGTGTGTGTGCAAGTTGTTCCTTGTTCCTCTAAGATGCAAGGCTTCAGCGTCTGTATGAGACCTGGGGTATCCAAAGAAAACGAAATCCTCTAAATGTCGATAGGAAAACCTCTCTAATTTATAACCTTTGTATGGTTTGACACATGCCCTTCTGGAAGCTTCAGGCCTTAACCTGGTTTGTTATTCCTTACGCGTCATTCCTGTATTCCAAAAATCAGGAATATGCAAGTGAGAATAGGGAGCAAGGTAGAATCAATACAGAATACCATAACACGTTCAAGGCGCTTTAATCTTTACACAAGAAAGATTGCAAGTTGCAAGGGCTTAATTGATTCAAGTTGTCATGCTTGTAAAACTACTGGCTACTTAAAGCTTCAACAGTTTTACAACTTCTGAATCGTGTAACTATTTAAGGCTGAAAACTTGAAAAGCTTTTTGAAGCTTCGAAGTCTTAAACTTTCTAGTGGCTGAGTGAAGCAGGTCCCCAGAAGACATGAATGTTTAGAACTTTGAACATTCTAGCGCTTGAGCAAGTTTTGCCCATCTATGGTGTCAGAAAACACGACAAACTCTGCTTGGATCTACACGGTACCCATTTCCTGAGATCTGCCTGGATCGTCACAGTGCCGTTTCCTGTCAACAATGTAGCGCATGGATCAAGGCAGGCCTTGTCCATCCAACAGACCCAGGCAAATTTCGGAAGGACAAAAAACTGCCTGGATCTGCACGGTACCATGTACCTGAAAAGAAAAGAAAAATATGGCCTGGATTTGGGCAGATTTTGCGCATCCATTATTCCGACAAAACACGACGTGCAAAATCTGCCAAGATCGGAAAAATCTTTGCGGCGTCTTCTTCTTGGGCGATAAGACTTGGCATAGATCAAGGCGAGTTTAAGCCATCTAGACTTGTATCTTAAAGCATTTAAATCTTGTTTCGATAGAGCTTAACACATTTCAAAGCTGTAACGTTCCAAATCTTCTGGTGGATGGTGGAGCTGGCCCCCAATGTATCGTCGCTTTGCTGCCTTGTGCGTCTGGTAGTTTTGCTTGTTGGTGCGTCTTGCTTCTTGGCGTCTTGGCTTAGTGCTCCAATTTCCTAGATCAGACTCGCACAATTCGGCGCTTTCGGAGCCCTAATTCCTGCAACCTTTGAAAAACTGGAGAGGCTCTTCCCTTTCCTACTGAATCATGATGGAGGCTTCTGATTTCCCATGTTACAACATGTTAAGGAACACCTTGGTGAACGTTAAACTTAGAGTTAGATACAGACACGCTTGGAAAAATTGCTGCTATGTTTTTAACATCTAACGATTTTGAGCTCAAGTATTATGTTCAATTGTATAATTGATCCGCAATGAATACTTGACTGACATGCAGCTGCAACAGTGCTTCATTAAGGCTTCAGTAACGTCTGCTATGTACAAGGTCCTATGAGCACTAGCAAATTCGAGCGGCTGGAATCAAACCGGTGTGGCTTTGTCCACGAGAGCAGCACATGTGACTCCTTGAGCGCAGCGGATTCAAGGAGAGTCGCTTCCGTGGCTTCCAGATTGTCAAGAGAATTCAAGAGACTGTTGCAGACAAGTGGCAAGAAGAACTCGGAAAAGCCTGAAATCTCGGAATGCGTTGAAGCGTGATTGGATGCTTGGGTGCAGCATACTGTCTCAGGCGGTATCATAGCTGCAACGCGTGTGCAAGCTCTTTGACTGACTTCGTAACAGATCGAAAGCTCACCAGCAATCTAATCTGGAAATCTGTTAACCTGCTCATGGGAACTGATCCAAATCATCTTCAATACACCATCCAATCTTCTCAATGCATGTGAGTAGCTGGGATACGCCGCCCGCGTTGGACCTGAACTCCAACAAATCCGGCTTCAGATCAAAAGGCAGACAAATCAGCCGTACGTAGCAGGACATTACATGACTGAAAAGATGACAATACAATTCAACACACTACTCCGTATACTCCGTGTACAAACCACCAATATACACTACATCTACGAGACTCTCACCCATTCGCGAAGCTCAGCTTCCGACTCGCCGGCTTTCCTTTGCTGACTTCCTCCTGCGCTGATGCACGTAAAATACATCAGCAAGCCCGGCAACGGTAGCTGTTTCTCGCCATTCCTTTCTTGCATGCCCTTCAAGGTCAATATGTCCATTCACAGCGACGGCGACCCCACCCAAACATGCAACACCTTCAACAAAACCTCCCACCCGCCACACAACCCAAACTCTGGAGCATGTAAGACATTTGAAAACTGCATTGGCACAAGCCCAGAGCCTCAACTAAGTAAGCCCCGCACCCAAAAGGCCTATCAAAGTCCGAATAATATCAGCTTCTAAACCCATATGTGGCTCTTTGGTGATTCGTACATTTCGTTTAGGGAGCCGCTTGTTGATGGTACCTTTTGTGGCATGTGGACTTGGAATTGTTGTTCAAAAACACGCGTTTATTCGAGTTGGGTTTTGTGCGCGTTTTGGTGGATGCACTGGTAAAGTGGACGTTGTTGTGGTCCGGGCATGGATGCTCTAGCCATCAGATACAGTGCAACACGGACGTTTTGTATGAAGTGAGTGTTTCCCCTAGGTGAAACGCCTAGATCCAAAGGTTCTTGAACAATGCTACAGAGCATTGTACGCCTCCGGAGGTCGCAAGAGAAGCATTGAATAGGCCGAAAGGTTGCATCCCCGCTAAGGAAACTCATCACAGTCACAGCAATAACTTTCCCCGAGGGGCGGGACGAAAGTTCAGCAAATCAGGCAGGGAAACCAGGTAACAGTTTCCAAGAGGGATCCAGGCGAAGCAGAAGCTCATGAAAGGCTGTGTTGCGATAGAGACCTGATGAGACCTGTGCCTTCTTTGGTACAGAGAGCATCGACTTCACCTGTTCTTCTTGCTGGGTGTTGACTATGCCTTAGACCCGTTGTACATTTCTTGCACGCAAGTGCTTGCAGCCAATCGAACATGCCGGATGGATCAAGCCGCGTAAGAATGAGGCAAGTAAGTCTGAAGCATGAGTCACAACTAGTCACCTCGTCACAGAAGAGCCTTCGGCGCGCAGGTTCAGAACTTCATTCGCAGGTTTTGGACAGCAATGCCTTGAACCAACCGTTTTTATTCAGAAGGGTGCACTGCCCCACGACTGAACCTGCAAGAGCACCAAGTCGCAAGACATTGGACGGTTCTGCTTTTCACCGTGGCTTCCCAGCATCACCAGCCCTCCCTACAAAAGCACAACAGTAAGTTTCTGCGGGCATCTCCACCTTGAGACTAAGCAGTTGGTGGGCACACCCCATCATACTGTCTGCAGGGGAAGCGAGGAGAGCGTGTCAGCTTTGAGTTCTAAACATTAAAACAAAAGCCACAAACGCTACAATGCCGCTACAAAAAACGAACTTGTGGGGAAAATATACAGCCCATCTACTTACATCTATATGCTGCGTGCAGGCGAGCGGCCTTTGCCCGCAGCCTGCGATGTTCCTCTGACAGTTCCTGGCGCAACTCCTGCAACTGAAGTCTGGAGATTCGGGACACTTTCGGCATGTTCACTTGCTCGTCTGCAGTCCTGCACTTCTTGAAGAAGCTCTGAATGCCTGCGTGCCGCGTCCACTGACATGGCCTCAACATCCTGCCAAAACGGGGAAGTAAGCGAATAATATGGAAACATGTCAGACACCCACTTTTGCAACAAACGTCTGCCGCATGAAATGTCTAGACTTCCATGCATCATCAGGAATATATTTGATGCCAGAGGGGCATGTGCCTTGGCCTCGTTGTTGATGCTTTTGTTGCTCGGTTCTCTTCTGTGGTTCCTGCTCCTGCGGCTCCTTCTGTCAATTCTGGTCCTGAACCCTGGCCGAGTATCCCTGAAATGCCCAGAGAAGCGCGCTGGGAATCCCGCTGAGTAGCCACTCCAGAGAAGCCCGCGAGTCGGACACCAGCGCAACTGCGGAGTAGAGGCAGGTGGATGATGCTAGAAACGCAAGTCGGAAGCGAGCCATCACGGACTGTTATAAAGTGAACGCGCGGAGTGCTGGACTAGAAGGGAAGGGAAGGAAGGGAAGGGAAAAGCGACCTGCGGGGTTATTATTGCCGCGGC